GATGAATAAACTGTTAAACTATTAATATGTCTTGTTTCTTTAGACTAATCATCCAACCACCAAGAAGGAGTCAATTGGAAAATAACCTGTTTGGCATTGGCAGAGATGATATGCCAAGGTTTTCATTGATACAACCCACATGCTCAACTCTGCTGCTCAACAAACCAATTAAATTTCCTTATAAATGTTACATTATTTAGAGGAAATGTGTTTTCCAATGGTATAAAATCTACTGCCAAGAAGCACTGTTACAACAAAGAAATATTCAATAATGGCAATGCTGCATCCCATGGAAAGACCAATTTCAAGCTTTGAACTTGAAAAGTAAACGTATGCGATCTGCAGCTATACATAGCTCAGTGGCATTAGCTTGATATCTTCTATTCTAATTATGTTATTTGCTCCCAAATAGAGAGAGATTTAAATTTCACCAATAACTTTCTATCCAGGCAGAAAAAAAAGAACAATATTTTTTTCACTGATCCTTTACACAAAACAACCCCTAACTATACAACTTGTCACCAACAGAGAAAAAGATAACATGGGAGCCAAGAAAGCCCAGTGTTTCTGTTGATATGCAGCCTCCAGCAGCCTTGACCTATTGCAGCATACCTAATCAAGTGTTCTGGGTCACCTGATCCAACCATAAATTTTATCAAAAAGGAAAGTTGTATAGTATAATCTTACAACTTAGAAGAATCAATACCATTTTAAAACCAAAGTCTTGTTAAATACTAAGTTATTATGTATGATGTGTGAAGTTTGCTTTAGGTGGTGTTATTCTTATAAAAATATATAAAAACACAGAAATAAAAAATAAAGGAACCTTCACCTTCTGAATTTTTTATCAAATACATTTTTTTTAAATTTTTGTTTACTGGCAAAAGTTGTTTGCAAATGTAATAGGCTAGGTCAGGGGTCAGCAACCCGCGGCTCTTTAGTCTTTATTTTGCGGCTCCGGGTGGTTTGGGAAAATAAATTATAAGTATTTAGCTGAAGTGTATTTTATTTGTATTTAGTTCTTTTTTTAACTTGTAGTTCTAAATTGGAAGATTATTGTGATTTTGAAATATAAAAATACAATTATATTCTATTATTTTTTCGTCGCTCAAAATAAGCGTCACACTCGCAGAAGCCGGTATACCCGCCGAAACGCTGTGCGTTTATCGAGACTTTCAACCCCAGGTAGGCCAATCGTGGATCTTCGGATCCACATTATGTCGGCAGCTGTTCTCCACCGTGAACTACGTTAAAAACAAACACCGCTCACGCCTCACAGATGACAGCTTACAGTCCTGCGTAAAGATGAAAGCCCCGATTTGCAGACGTTGTGCGCAGAGGTTCGGGACCATAAGTCTTATTGTAAACATATCACGGCAGACCTGACGATGTTTGCATGATCATGCTTTTCAGCATCTCTTTATTGACCACTTTTCACACACGGTTGCTGTAGCATACAGCCAGCTGTAGCTTTTCAACAGCAGAGAGGGCACAGACTTTAAGGCAGCGAGGAGTGATTGCGGGTCCCGCTCAGGTGCGTCCGACTCCCCTGCAGCGGCGCTGCAGACCACGCCCCACCACACACATTAACCAGGTAAAATACATATTTAGGCAGAATTTTG